CCCACGTCGTCCCGCTTTCAACTCCCACATCCATACCCTACCTCATCAGTGTTGTATTTTCTATACTGACTCTCTAATATGATATATGCTGTTTATGATTTAAGAAGCTGTTTTTCTAAATAAAGAATGTAAAAAAATACAGTTAATGATGTATTAAAGGGGTTGCAGAGTCCCAGCATATACTATCCTATTATAACGTCAGCATTGTAATAGGAATACATTTAACAATGCACCAAACGTTTGGAAAATGGTACTTTGGCACATTCCTAGCTTCTCTCCCGTGTTGGCAGAGGCAGCAGGGATCCAAGGAGACAGACACCGGCATCAAGCAGGGAGGAGAGAAGGTTTTCAGGAGGCTGAGCGGGAGGAGATAGATAGCGTAGGATGCAAAGCGGGGCGGTGCAGAGAGGAGTGCTCTACATCACTTCCTGTTTATTCATGATTGTGGACATAATAACTCATACTATTTCTACAGTTTATGAATGGACAGGGGCACTCAGTAAAGAGGCTTCCTGTTCATAACATACCCCTGATATTTCCCCAAATCCCCCTACAGTAAAGAAAAAATAAAATAATTGAAACATTTTTTAAAAGGTTGAGGGGGAGGGGGTTGTAATTTTCGGTTTTGGCCTCACAAATAATTTTCAATTTCAATCTAAACATTACATTCCGGTGCGTCTCTATCATACTAGAGTTGTTTGTGATAATGCAATCAAAGCTTACTTGAAAAATCCCTAATGTAGTGAGTGCTGCCTTCCGTCTGCCCATCACTTTCAGCAACAACAGTGCGCTTTTTATATCTCTTTCCCTTCTGCTTGATGTAATACAACCTGGATTTCTCAAGACCACATATCCCATCATGCATTGCTGCCAGCAAGCAATGATAATGGTACATTGTTCTGACAATGAGTTGTAGTTCAGACGGCAGGTTCTGGGGAGTGGTGACACAAGGAAGCGCATATTTCACAGCTGAGTGAAATGGTGTCAGTGCATTGAGGTAGTACATCCTATGGGCAGCTTCAATAAGTAAGTTTGCAAACCTCTAGATCGATATTAGGCGTGGGATAGAACTGAATGTTTAGTTTTTAACCATAGGTGCCCTTTAATTTAAACAGAACTGCATGAATTGTCTTTTATAATGTGTCTGGAGATCAGCTTTAAAAGATGTACATTAAAAAAGGACAGTTTGTGCAGGAAGCTGAAGCAGAGGATTGAGTCCCAAAAAGAGAAAATCTCCCCCAAAATAGGACCCTTGGAAGCTGTATGTGTGTGAAGCATTTTCACTAGTATTCTAAATGAATGTTTGTCCTCTCTTCTAGGATAACGCCTTAATGATAATTAGAGGAAAGTCAGCAAACTATGGATTTCGGTAAGTTTTTGCATTTTCATAGCTGGCAATAGGTTTCATTGTACAATGCCTGTTCGATTTATCAAAACTGTGTAACGCATAAGCCCATCTGAACAATCAATTTCTTTTGTAGCCAGACCGGCTCTTGCACTATATCATCGTTTGTAAATCTTTTTTTACATCTACCAACAGATTGTAACATGTATGGTCATCTTAATGCTGAATTCAAGGCAAACAGCTAATCACCATTTAAATGTATATATGGAAGCTGCTTTACCTGCCAAATGATTTGTAATCCATTGACTTACACAGCCCTGTAAGACAGCAGAGCAGAACTGATGACCAGATTTTACTGCAGTTAAGCAGCAGGTAGGGTCACCTCCCTACCCCCAGCCTGTGAGGACAATGCAGGTGCAGCAACAGACTGATGAGGTCACCTCTCTGCTCTCTTCTCCTCTCAGCATGTTCTTGTTAGTAGTTGTGAATGAAGCACACCTAATTAGCCCCAAGTGCTGCCTTCCCACTTTCAAAGTAGGAAGTAGGCTCCGTGCTGATTGGCTGGAAAGCCGGCTTCCTGGCCAATCGGCATAGAGCCGGGCAATCGGGAGGCGGGTCATTACTCGCCGCCCGGCTTCCTGATTGTCCGTGAAGCCGGCTTTATGCTGATTGGCTGGGAAGCTGGTTTCCCTGCCAATCACAATCGAGCCGGCCAAACAACAGGAAGTCGGCTCCCTGGGCAATCGGCAAGCCGGGCGGGATATCGTTACCTGCTGCCCGGCTTTCTAATTGCCCGGGAAGCCGGTTCCATGTCAGCGGAAGCACCGGTATCGGTAATCGGTATCGCCTACTACCGAAAGCAAAATATCGGTACTTGATACTGAAAAAACGGTATAGGTGCATCTCTAAGTCCTATATTTAGCTTACCCTTTACATCTACTATTCCTAAAGTTAGTCCCAGCCTTGTCATCCGGTATTCCCCTTACATACATTACCTTAGACCTCGAACTGGATAACTGCTGTGGGGCACTAATCCTGCTGCTGATAATTCTGAGGGACATCTGTTGGGGTAGAAGAGGAGTAAGCATCATGTGTTCTGTTCTATGGGTCACACTAAAAAAAAATACCAATGTAATGTATATATTTCACTAGTTCATATCTTCTATTCAACTTCCATCTAAAGCATGTGCGTTTAGCAAGCTGCACACAATCAAGTTTTCCTGCAGCCATCCTCATTTATTCCTTAAAGCAGGGCTGGGCAAATCCCAGGAGCCAGTTAGTAATAATTAAAGCTAGTACCTAACTTTTGAGGGTTTCTCTATCTGTTGTCAATGGAATTGGCTCCTAAAAAAAAGTCCTTCTGGCTCCTGGATTGGACAGACTGTCTCCTAAATTCCATATTAATTTGACCTCCCCTACCTTAAAGTAAGGCTTACCAGAATGAAACCATTTACGATCCCCCTCTGAAAATGTGAGTTGCCAAGACACCACACTGGACCATTAACTTTAATACCTTGAACCGCTGTCCCAGAACATGTCAACCAGAAAAGTCAGAGTAAAGTTAGATGTCCTTATCTGCATATTAATTCCATGTCAGTTACTCAGTCATTCAAAAAAACACAAGGGTCAGCAATGGCAGCCACTATGTTTCTCTCAGGAAACCTTTCCTTTCAAGCAAACCTGTATGTTCCCACAGGACTCAGTAGTGACATAGCGGATTGAAGGTAGATATGGTCATCCTACACTCTGGAAAGTGTGGAATGCTGAAGGACATGACAGAGGCTGCAGTGCTGGAGCAGAGCTGAGGTAGGAGACGTGGGCTGCCAGAGAGGTGAGTATGATAGCTCTTCTATTTTAGGGAACAGGCCTATGTTTTAGATTTTACTCATGTTTATATGTTTTGAAACAGTACATGTGTTTTCCACCTCCGTTCTTTCTTTCCTTGTAGCTGTTTCTATAAAGTACCAATGTCTGTTTATAAATATTTTGTATTCTTTCTTTTGAGACTAGCAGATGTTCTGAGATGAGCTCTGATTAACTAACATGCTGTTAAACAGGTTCTTCCATGTTTATTCATGGTCTTTTAAGTATAGACTTGTATAGGGTATAAAAACAATACAATTTTGTTTGTGGTAGGTGCAGAATTAATTCCACAGAGTAAACCATTATGTGTTTTTGATTATGCAGGATACTGGAATGTATGTGAACAAACAGTGGTTCTCCAAGGAGCACTGCTTCTAGCAGAGAAACTTGCTGTGCACAGAACTTTACTGGAGTTTAAGAAGTCTGACTGGCCTCTCATTGAAAAGCCAATCACTGATGCTCTCAAGGAGATCAGCTCAGGTAATTGGTCCAAAAGCCACGAATGGAGGAAAAGAGCCATTGCTATATTTTGGGCCAAAATTATTTCATGCCGGTCACAGCTGTCCCTGGATGCCGAACTGGACATCGAGAGGAAATGGAAACAGGATGTTTTCTTTGCAGTGGGAAACATGATGCCAAAAATAAATCGTACCATTCTCTATGAGATTCTGAAAGCTACGAAGGCAGCAGATATATTCGCAGAGCTTCTCTTGGTGCTGCCAGCAGATTTGTGGGTGGATGAAGTATCCTTGTTGTTAGACCATCTTTGTAGTGAAACGTCTATAGGGGATGTGACTTTCTTTATGGATGTGTGGTGGGAACTAATGAAAGGCTATAAACACAGTCAGGATGAGACTGTTAAGATATTTTCAGCTGTTGCAGTTCAATGCATGTCTGAAATAAATGATAACCTTTTGCCGAGCTCAAAGAGATTTAAGCCTGACCCTGAACAAAGTTTACCTGCAGCTGATAGTGTTCTTGCAGCATTTCTGGATAGGCTTCATCAAATGAAACCATGCATTGCTAACACCAAGCTGAAGTGCTACACAATTGCTAACTTGGCAGATATGTTGTGTTCCTCTGCATTTCTGGAGAAGGAGTCAGGACATCTTCCCATAAGGCAGTACTTAGAGAAATTGGTTGCTGTCCTTTGTTTTTGCAATGCAGGAGCCAAAAACATTCACCCCAAAAGCTACTTCCCGGAATCAATAAGAGAAGCAGAGAGGGTTGTTCAGAGTGGAAACATAGCTTCCAAATTTAGATTAACAAAAGAGGCTCAGCACTTCAGTTTAAATTTACTCAAAGATCTGCTGCTTGAGTGGGTAGAAGAGCTGCACAATTATATGAATAACAATGAAGAGATGGGGTACGAGTGTTACAGGATGAACAGCAGCCTAGCATCCTTACAGAAAATCCTGTTTACATTGGAATGTTCAGAGCAAGGAGAGAGTGGTTTGGAAATAGCAAAGCATATCACCAGCCTACAGGAGAAGACTGCAATGGCACAGCTAAAATACGCAAGAAATGATATGGACACAATGGCAGTCGTTGCCATGAACATAATTAAGGATAAGTTGGAACGCTATGAGGAAGTTTGCTTTGACTTTGCTTCAGAGGTTACCTGGGTATTTACTAACAACTGGTTCAATTGCCTTAACAAGAACAAAGAACGTTTTCGAGATGCAGGCCTGATTTTTAAACTACTGGAAACTGTGGATAAAGCTGTATCGGAGCAAAGCAATGAAAATAACAAGCAAAATGAAAAGTGTGCCAGTATTGTTTTAGATCTGTACTGTGAACTCCCATTAGAAAACATGAATGATGTGCTTATGAAAGTGTTATGTAAATGGGGAATGAAAGGGCTGTCTCATTGTATGACAGCATTTACAAATCACTTCCACGAAGAGCTCAACATGACATTCAATCAGATCTCCCAGAATGTAACCGATGACAATCCTGTTACCAGAGTGGCCAGACTGGCTGTGTTGCACCCTGAACATGTGGTCAGCAGAGCATGTCACATTGCTGTGACCAACCTTGGTGCTCATGTCTTTTTATCAAAGATACTGACTTCACTTCCTGCCTTAGGTTTTAGGAATTCTAACACAGAGGTATCGGAGTCATTATTATGCAAGTGCTTGATGGAAACCTGCTGGAGCAAACTTTCCTCAGATAAGGAAGAAAGTCAGTTTTTATATTTGCTGGCTTCTTTAATGGGATCTTCTGAAAATGCAGAGAAGAAGTCCGCATCTCTTCTGCAGCCAGCAGAAGTGGTAAGGACATTTGTTCTTCCATACCTACTTGATGAATGCAGTCATTTGAAGTCTTGTTTGCATATCCTTCACAAGGCACTCGATGTGGAGAATCCACCCGATGCCTCTGACAAGCACTGGGTTCTGTCCTGCTCACCATTTCCACTTATTATGTCTCTGTGTAAACTCCTCAATAGTTATAGTAGGTGCTGGCAGCATTCTGATCAACCATATTGCCTTACATTGGAATCCAAAGAGTTAATCATTGCAATTCTTACTCGGATATGTACTCTAATATTGCCAGAAGCTAACAATAGTGCAGAAACCTGGAACAAGTCGCTGTTCTGGCTACACAGAAAAATGGAGCACATAGATTGGGTTGTACGGTTGAGAATGAAACCCATGTTTGGAAAGCACTTTAAGTATGAAGTCCCGGCTTGTTTGTTTGAAGTTTGCAAACTTTCAGAGAAGGAGTGGACAACACTTCACCTTCCCGAGTATGGGCTGGGAACAGGCCTTTTAGCATGGATGGAATGCTGTAGTATATCGGGAGACATGAAAGACCAAATGCTTTCTCTTTTGTGTGTCAACATCGAGGACCCAGAGGAAGTCAATCTCTTTAGCAAGGGGTTCTTGGTGGCCATGGTTCAAGTTCTTCCTTGGTGCAGTTTGACCGAATGCAAGCTTCTTAGTGACGTTGTGAGGACCCTCCTGGAAAAACAACTTCTCCATGTTCCGTATACTCTGGAATATGTGCAGTTCATGCCTCTCCTTAACCTCCGGCCATTTGCCTGCCATCTCCAGTACTCTGTCCTGCTCTTACGAGTTTTCCAGCTCCTCTGCAGCTCTAGCTGCTCTAACTGGCTTACCCTTGATGGCCAAAAACATCTTGCAAGGCTTTACAGTGGCTGCATCTCAGATATGTTGGATGGGGTCAAACAGCAGTTGTCAGACTGCAGTCTTCAATTGCAGAAGGAACCGAAAGCTGCAGACTATGTTCAGGAGGTTTTGTTCCTCTATAGTCAGGTATTTTGCCATGTTCTCCATATTATAGCAATGATGCAAGAAAACACATGTGAACCTCTCTTCTTTTTGTCCCTTGAAATTCTTACCTTATATGAGACCATAAGAGCTAGTGACACTTCCAAAAACAGCTTGCTGAGAAAAGCAAATGATAGACACTTCTTAAAGACCATCACTGAGAGTGTGAGCAATGAGCACCACCGGTCCACACTGATGCAGAAAATTAACAAACTTTAAATAGCAAGTAACTGGAAAGGGCCTGTAAGTGTATAATCTAAGAAATCTTACATGGTACCATATAAATCAGCCTTAGAAAGTGATAAAAGCCCTAAGATTTGCTTTGCCTCATTTAGCAAGTGCACATTACACCGTGACACTTATGGCATGGCTTATACTCCAGCAAAGCATGAAATCAAGCACATGCCAGATCTTAAATAGTGCATTATAACATCCAGTCAATTAAATGTGTCCATTACACAAGAGCAATAAATCATTCAAAGAAATGTTCCACCTTAAAAGATTTACACTTATCCTTTTCCCCCTCTAGGATTGCTTGACTGATCCCACTTCCCCTGCGCAGATGCAGATTTACTGAGTTCTGACGGGCCCAACCTCTATTGTTTGTTGCCATCCTGCAGAGGATGTCGTTCTTCTACCCCTGCCTGCACAGTAAATCCTATTGACCTCTATGGGATTTGTCTAACTCATGACTATCAGGTGAGAGATGATCCCCATAAAGTCAATGGGGATGTACTGTGTAGGTGTGGGCAGAAGGAGAATCCTCCACAGGATGTTGACAGGCAGTTTGGCTAGGCGAAACACGATGAGTATTTATCTGTGCAGGGGGAGGGTGGGATCAATTATGTATACTTAAAGGGACCAAAAGGACAAGTGTATTTTGTTTTAAAGTGCCCTTATCATTTCAGTATTTCTGTACTATGGAAGTATGCCATTACTGACCTCCCCTATGAAAATGATAGTTTCCTGCCTCTTATTGCACCCCAGAGGCTCCAATGTTGCTGCCCTGGAACATGTATGCAGGTTAGAAGCTCTGATTTTTGGTTTGCATACTTCTGAGTCAATGCTTTCAAATATTGAAGCCAAAAGCAGCCAGTCAACTATCATTTTCAGAAGTTGTTTAGCAATGGCCAAACCCATATTTCTGTCTTTGTGTCCAAAGCATTGGTGGCTTGTTGTTTAAAATAGCAAGGTTTTTTCCTTTTATATAAATGACTTTGTTATGAATGTCATGCACTGTTTGTTTCATCTTGTATGACTAAATAAAATACTGGATACGTGTTACTACTACTCAGACTGGCAGCATTTGTTCTATTTGCAACATTTAACTGTTGGCTGAAAAGTTTGCCCAGATTGTAGTGTTGTTGATTGTGAGGCCAGGGCTCAGGTCGATGGGTGTTGTTTTCCTTTGCTTGAGTTGCATTTGGAACGCACCTCAAACATGGGACAGCAGGGTCCGATTGACTTTGATTGAGCAGTACACATGGCAGTTCAGGGGCTCCATCTGATCTGCTTTACCATTTTATGGACATTGTTATAGTTCTGCCCCTTAGAACTGCATGCAAAGCAGATCAAACACATCCTTTTTCTCGTCAAACACTGTTTTCCATTTGAAACTAGCTACATGCATTTGAATTGAATACACAGTGGTTGAATAGAACACCCATCGACATGGACCCCAAAGGATCAATCTTTGGTTTGGGCAAATTTCATTCCAGCTTATCTGTGTATCATGGTTTCATGGACATTTTTAAGCCATGAGAAAAAAACTTCTTTTTTTTTTTTTATTCCGGGGGGAAAAATGGAAATTTTCAAAAAAAGTGATAAATAATTCGGTGTGGAGTATTTTATACAAATTGAAAGTAATTTTGTTACACTAGGAACGTGAAATGCAGTGTATATAAAAGTACAGCTTATTCAGTAAATAAACTAAACTTCCTTTTTTAAAATTGAATTTTTTTAAATTACAAATGGAATAACAAGGACTGTATATGTTAAAGGAGAACTATGGGGTTAAGGCTTTTCCCTATAGTTCTCCTTAGGGTAACGGGAGGACACAAACTGGCGTCCACCCGTCACCCTAGGCTCAGTATACCGCGTGCTGTAGCTCGTGGTATAGTGAGACGCCGCAGTATACCGCAAGCTGCTGCTCGCGGTATACTGAGACACTGAAGCGGATCCCGACAATTGTGCCGGGATCCGCACAAGCTGCGGGACTGACAGCTGGCTCTGCCTATCTAGAGGCAGAGCCAGCTGTACCCTCCCCCGTCCGTTCCGCCAGTCAGCGCTGGCGGAGGGGGGAATCCAGTCCCTCCCCTGTCACGGCAGAGAGTCGTGACAGGATCGAGAAGTGAGCGAACGCCGGTATGTGTCCCTCCCGATCTACTGAGCCAACCTGTGACAGTCTCATTGTCACCGGTCGGCTAGAACTATGAGGTGAGTGAAAAGCACTCACCTCATAGTTCTCCTTTAATAACATTTCAGCTATACACGAGAACAGGTAACCACCCCCTTTTCCTCAAAAGCAACAATACAAGCAAGAACATATTTGCAAATTGCAACTTTGCTCTCAGCAGAAATGTTTCCAAACTCTAGATGTTGGTCTCACCATTTTATTGAGAGGAGGAAAAAAACAATTGACTGAGCAGACTATAGATAAACATTATACTGTGATGGTGGAGAGCGTTATTAGGAATCGTTGGGTTTTTTTTCACTCACCTCATAGTTCTAGCCGACCTGTTACAATGAGACTGTCACAGGTCTGCTCAGTAGATCGGGAGGTGACCGAACACATACCGGGGTTCTCTGCCGTGACAGGGGAGGGGCTGGATTCCCCGCTCCGATCCTCCAGCGCTGACTGGCGGAATGGGAGGGGGCGGGTACAGCAGGCTCTGCCACTTGATAGGCAGAGCCAGCTGTCACTCACGCAGCTGGGCGGATCCAGACAAAATTGTCGGGATCCATTTCAGCTGCGGCGTCTCAGTATACCGCGAGCTGTAGCTTAGGGTGACGGGAGGACGCTAGTTTGTGTCCTCCTGTTACCCTAAGGAGAACTATGGGGAAAAGCCCTGACCCCATAGTTCTCCTTTTTAATGCTGATGTCAGACAGGCATTTCTACTGCTACAGACAAATCGCCAGCGACAGGATCACTAAAGCAGCGGCCTGTCTGTCCGTCTGTAGGAAAATCGAGCTGGCTGAATGCTGCTGAATCTCAATTGATAGAGATGGGAGCAACATCTCGGTGCCTCAGCTACAGAGGGAGCGATTCCATGGGGATAAACAGGCAGCCTCTTGGCAAGACAAATAACCAGTGGAAGAATTGCTACCAGCAGATCAGAGTCACTACACCTACCTAAAGCTTTTGCACAGTACTGTATATCAGGGGTGTATAAATTAATATGGAATACAGGAACCAGTCTGTCCAATCCAGGAAGTAGCAGTATTTTTTAGTAGCCCTCCATTGACAACAACTAGAGAAAACTTCAAAAGTTAGGCACCAACTGTCATTTTTAGGGAACATTGGCTACCTGGCTCCTGGGATTTACCCAGCCCTGATGTACAGTATATACACACCTACAATTTTGGCAAAGGATTTCAGAGTCCTTACTTTCAAACTCCCTTTTCAGTCTTCATCAAAGAAGCAAGTGTAGAATCTGGAAGACCTAAAAGGAGTCTAGAGCCCATCTGCTTGGGAAGAACACAAGCTTTTATTATGCTATATTTACTTGAGGGGGAAAAAAAAAAAAAAACATTTTAAAAATATTTTTAAAGTCTTAACTATAAAAAAATATGTCTAGAATCACTCCACACACCACATATGTACAGCTGTGCAGAACCATCTATTAGGTACGACTATTATACATGTGCTTTTTTTTTTTAGCAGAGGCTAATAATAAGACACATAGGGGGGAATGTATTCCTTTATTTAAGTGGGGCAGACAGTGTCTGGAGTAGTTGCCCATCGCAACCAATCACCTTCTCTTTTTCAGTTTGTTCAGTTCAGCTTTGAAAATGAAAGAGAAGCTGATTGCTTACTATGGGCGTCTGCTCCAGATTCTGTCAGCTCCAGTTTTGATAAATTCCCCTCACAGAACACTGCTGGATTGTTCTCCATCTCAACAAAAAAATGTGTTTAACATCTTCTATGTTTCTAAGGACTGCTATGATAACTGTTGTTCCTAGTCTTCTGTTTGTACGTCATGGAGAAAGTGTCTTATAACCATCATGGTTGATTGGTAAAAAAAATGGCACAGAGCTTTAGAGAGCGTCACAACATTTTCAATGAGCAGAGAAGGGCTACAACCCCTGTTATGGTGGAGCAGTGCAGTGACACTAACATGTATGAATACCATCCGTGTGTGATTGAGTGTTCCTTCTGTGGTCCAGGCCATAACACTCAACATTTAATACATTTCCCCAAATGTTTTACATATCAGCTCAGGCTCTCTCTTGATATTTTGTTTAGTGAACCTAAAGGTTAGTTGAGGAAAGACTTGTGTGTGTGTGTGTGTGTGTGTGTATGTATGTGTATATATATATATACGCTCTCTTGTATACCAAGAGCAGCAGCAAACTTCGGCATCAGTCTTCGTTGCACTGTCATAGCAAACCATCCTGTGAGAGTTTTCCCATACATCCTTGATCGCTTTTAACAGAAAACATGGGCACAGCAGTATTTGTTTAACTTTACACAATGGTACATTTTATGTTACTGGCAAGACCATTTGTAAACAAACAAGTAAGTATTGTTTTTATAACATATTCCATGATTTAATGTGATTACTGTTGTTAAAGTGTTTGTCTTACAACAATGGGACAGTAACTAGTTGTCTTGTACTGTATATTTGTGCAAGCTGATTTGTGTTTACCAATTTTACTGCAGCACAAGAGGTTAAATCTGCATAGGAATGACCAGCACTTGAAGATTACCATGGTTTGGAGTGTTTACCTTTTGGATTTTATGGGGGGGAAAAAGTTTGTTTTTAATGTTTGATCACCCAAGAAATTAGGGGTGATCTCCCCAACAGTAATTTTAGGTGATTGTGACAACAAAAATGTTTTAAAGGCTCAATTCCCGCGCGCACGGGCAGGAAAGACCCGCTTGTTACTACAGCCGTTAACGGCTGTTTCACATACAACCGATCAGCGGCTCTATAGCCGCTGATCGGTTGTATGGCGTGAATTTCGGAGCCCCCCCCGCGCGATTGCGGGTGCCGCCATCTCCCCCCTCCTGACCCCTCACCTTTAATCCCGGGATCCGCTGCCCCATCAGCGGCCCGGTACCGGCTCGGGAGGGCATCAGGAGGAGGAGGGAGGAGGGAGGGAGATCAGCTCCTTGCTGTTCTCCCTCCGTAGTGTGAATGCAGAAGTG